TACTGCGCCTGCCACGCGGACAGCCAGCGGCACCAGCGGCGACAACGCGCGCCGCAGGCCCTTCTGGAGGCTCTGGCTACTGCGCCTGCCACGAGGACAGCAAGCGGCGACAACGCGCGCCGCAGCCCCTTCTGGAGGCTCTGGCTACTGCGCCTGCCACGAGGACAGCCAGCGGCACCAGCGGCGACAACGCGCGCCGCAGGCCCTTCTGCAGGCTCTGGATACTGCGCCTGCCACGCGGAAGGCAGCCAGCGGCACCAGCGGCGACAACGCGCGCCGCAGGCCCTTCTGGAGGCTCTGGCTACTGCGCCTGCCACGCGGAAGGCAGCCAGCGGCGACAACGCGCGCCATGTGAGGTGTGACAAGAAGGGCGAATAGATGAAGTTGTGAGTGGATATGTGAGATGAGAAGAAGTGTGTGTGTCAGATGATGAGATGACAAGCTGAGTGTGTGTCAGATGATCACAAGATGATTGTGTGTGTAACAGAAGGACGGAGGGAAGGAGGGAGGGACGGAGGGAGGGACGGACGGAGGGAGGCAAGGACGGAGTCGGGCGGGATGGCAGCCAAAAAACTAGAACCCCACACAGAGATGTGGGGAAAAACATGAACGACTGACAGTTCCAAAAAGCGCATAGATCAACTAGAAAAGAACCACACAATAGAAACAAACAACAATACAAAGAACTGAACATGGCAAACACATGCAAACACGAACGGGATTTGTTGGGCTTGTTCTTTTGTCGGTTCTTTGTTTTCGATATATAAATTAGGCAGGGGCCTGTTGTGAGTTGTATAAAATTAGTGTTTGTAAGATTAATCTAGATTAATCCACGAGTTAAACGTCAATCAGAAGTGCAAAGTCCAAACATCTCTTCCTGGAAGGATGCAGGATTTGTCAATGATGAAGGCAACAGCTTGAACACTATGACTTTGAGTCTTCAATCTATGCCTTGGTAAAGCAAATTGTTTTTTGTAACCAAAACCATTGGTCAATTTCTGCTTGTCAAATACTGTATTTGGTATTTGCAATCCTTCAACATCACATTGTCCCGCATCACCCTCATAAGCATTCCCCGTTGGTGTTCATTTTTATGCACCCTTTATAATCAACATCGTACACAAGAGGGCTGTTGTTTCCAATGCATAAATGTCAACTTTATCGGCAATTTATTTTAAGCACATACCGTACATTAATAGACAGTGCTTTTAAAGCACATCAATGAACTTTCATCAACTACCCTCAGCAAGAACAAGCATCATTTTCTGTCTCATTGAAATGATGCTTATCTAGAATTGTGGGCTCTCCATACATCGGTCATTGAGGACTGATATTCTTATTGTCTCCATTACACAGTAAGTGTAAGCCTTGTTCTTGTCTATTTCCAAGTCCACCTCCCAGCCGGTGGGATTGTTCTACACTGGCTTAGGATTTCAATATAAACTTCAGTATGTATAATAGGAATCATGTATATAGAGGATTATTTTTTGTTGCAAATAACATTGGTTTTAACGTGTTGTTGTATGATTATATGTCTTCTCTGCCTCAATTGTTATACTGGCATTGATTGAGTCTGTTAGATGTTGGGTATTCACCTTATATTGATTGATTCATCTTGATTTATCGTTTCCCATTTTTAAGTCTGAAATAATACCAGAAAAAAGCTTGATGTCAGGATTGTATCCTGCCCGTTTGCTTTGATAGTTCATATTCTTTGTAAATCATGGCGTGTGCATCCTTCTCAGTGTATTTCAGAAAATCATAAATGCCTTCAATCATCCTACATTCAATGGGGTCATCTCTGGTGTTATAAAGTTATTTCATTGGAGAGAGCCTGATTGCAGAAAAGTCAAACAAAACAGTCAACACAGTAGTCGGTGCCAAAAGTCAAAGTCAAAAAACAGTCAAATCAGAAAGTTTCAGAAAGTCAAAAAAGGTCAATTGGCACAGATCCGACTTTCTTTTATTTGTTTTACTTTTATATAGTCTAATTTTGATATTTGTTGACTTTTTCCGACTTTTTTGACTTGTGTTTAACTTGTTTCGAGTTACTTTCTACTTTTGACATTTTTTCATTTTTTTACATTTCCATTTGACTTTGACTTTTTTGACTTCGATTTTTCCATTTTTTTTTGGTTTAACATTCTTCTATTTCGAAATCAAGGATCCTTGCCTTACCATATCGGTGTTGATGTGAAAGTCTGTTGGCTTATACCCATACAATCAAAGATTCTGGCTGATACATTGTATTCTTTGACTTGAGAGAGGAGGGGGTGAACGAAAGGTAGCAGGCAATCACAAGTAACCCTGGTAGAAGTCCATGACGGCGTGAACCGGCGCAGGGGGGATTTGATCCAGCGAGGCCCCCCCCCGACGAACAGAATCAACTCTTACAGGACCAAATTCAATGCACAATCCCAACTCCTGATTGTAATACATTTTTGCTAAAGCAAGGAGAGCTCAGGTAGCTCAAGCTACCTTTCGTGATCACCTTGTTCCTATCATTAACTGATGCTCGAAATGTCTTGAATTCTTCAGCAGTTTTACCAATGAATTCCAAAACTATATCTCTGGTCATTATCTTCATTCTGCGCTCATTGGCATAAAAAGTCATTCAATGTGTTTCAAAAACATTGCTTCTTCAAAGGTAGCATTTCGGTTTCAGTATACCTGCGGTAAACTTCTATATTGCAGCATTCCTTAAGTTTATCTCCTCTGGTTTGTGGTCACTGTGCACAATGATGCCATCAACATACTTATCCATATCAAAATTACAGTAATCAAAACAGTCCTAAATGGCATCATATTGCATCAATACTGAGATGACCTTCTTGAAAGTCCTTTTGGAATCAGCTCTGTTAATCCTCTTCTTGACATGTTCTTCAATGTGTTTGGTTGTCTTGACGTGTGCTTATAGTTTGTTTTCTGTTGTTGGGCAGTAATGTTTTTTCTTGCTGTCACAAAATCCCATAACCAGCACCTCTAGCTAGCTACACATACCTGACATAAAACCTTGAACATTGTCAAGGCAAAAGGGTCAGTTCATGCCAAATGAATAGGATTATATAATCTGGATTAATCCTGACACGCGAAAAAACACACAAACATACACAAACAAAAAAACACTGATTTTGACACTACTTTGATTTCAGCTTTGGACTAGTGTGGAAATCAATGTTCTTTGCTTTGTGGTTTTTGAGCTTTGCGTACTTCAGCAGCATTGCCATCAAATCTGTCACAGATATGGCTGGTTTGGGTTTGTTGTGAGTGTTGTTGTGTTTTGTTTTTTGAGCTTTGTGTACTTCGACAGCATTGCCATCAAATATGTCGCAGATATGGTTGGTTTGGGGTTTGTTGTGAGCGCGCAAAATTCAATCAACCAGAGATATCACAATATCGTTCAACCGAAGCGATTTTGGGCACCTCACAACAAGCCCTTTTGATAATTTATTGCATCTTTTCCCTGTTGTTCGTGACAGCTTTCCTGATTAAGTACACAGAACACACTGAGCACACAAACACAACGGTATCTCCTGCACTGTTTACTTGTTTTTTTTGGTTGGTATTTGTCCCGATGACCGTCAACATATGTCAAATTTGTTTTTGGGAGTCGACACGTGCAAGGACTAAGCCACTGCGACTGATCCCTACATGTTACCACGCGTGTAGGCCACGGGTGTAGAACATCCATCTGCCTGGAATGTGACACGGCGCGGTTGGAGAAGTGGCGGATGTTCTCCTCGGCCGTGGCGAAGCGGCGCGAAGCGGCGCGCATGGACTTTGCTGGTCTTCGTTTCGATTCAACAAGTCGACGATCCCCTGTCTGTCGAAGCTCCGCGGAGCGCTAGCCGCTAGCCATTTCTAATCACCATCAGAAGATACAACACGGGACAAAGCATGGGCCAATATATGATGTCATGTCAATAGGCCAATACAATGGCTTGCATGTTCCAGAAGCTCCAAGTTTGTGTGTTATCTAATTACTCAAGTTCCGTGTGCAGATTCGACGAATGTCCTTGAAACCCTCCGTCCTTGAAACTTCGGAGAGGATGGTTTGACACATGTCGTTTGATTTGACCACTCTCTGTTTTACATATTCCTACACTCTTCCAAAGTGCCACTTGCACCACCATGAATAGCACCACCAAACTCCTTTCCACCACAACGTGCCACAATGCGCCAGCCCAGTGTCAATGAAGCCTTGGATGTGCGCCAGGCTCACACGCGCCGCCTTGGGCGTGGGACAGTGGGGGAAGACGTAGCCGGCGAAGCGCTTCATGAACCGCTCCAAGTCCTGGTCGTGCGGCATCAGGTGGGCACCGAGCCGACGAATGGGGATGGCAACCGATGCAGCATCAGGTGGGCCATCAGAGGTTCGATGGCACGTTTGGGCCCCCAAGTTCGGTGGTTTATATGGACCCCCATCTGTCGACAGACATGTAGGGGTGCCAGTGCCATCTACTCTGAAACCACTGTATATATATATATATAAATCATGCCCTCAGAAAAAACAGGGCGCTTGTCTGATGCACCAGACTGGTCCCCATCAACACCCGGAACTCGTGCCATTGCTTTTCGGCTTTTTCTCCACCCAACCTGTCGGAACTCGGCGTGGCAGGTTGACCGAGAGGTCCGGCCGTTCGCCATGTGCCCCTCCAACAGGTGGACGATATGCTAAAATGTAAAGAAGCTTAGCCCTCAAGCTTAAGCGTCACGAGCCTGTGCAGTGAGAAAGTTGATGAAGGCATAGCCCACATTGGTGCGATTCTTGGTATCCATCGGCAAGTAGAAAAAGTCATAGGAGTCAATGAAGCCTCACAGAGATCGAAGAGACACATGTCTCTTCTCTCCAGTCTTGTGTCTTCACATGTCGATGATCTGGGGTTCGAAGCTGTGGAATTGGAGCTTCACATGGCTTTCACTGCATTGTGGCAGGTCGCCATTTGTTTTCGATTGACGGTCCGGGCATCCGGCCCAATTCCCTAAAACGGGTGGACCGGGACCTGCCCAGACAGCATCTCTCTCCACTGAGTCGCTGCACTTTGGAGCGTTCCACAAAAAGGCATCAAACAACGTCACAAGGCTGATCTTGAGGCATTGTATTGGAGGTGTGTAACAAGTAGTTTATAACTCTGCAATATATTACATACATTTATACACATGTCACATAACCGCAGCCGCAACATTGCTATTCTAGTTATCTTAGGTCAGCAAGGTAGGCTTACCTCCGTAGCCTACGAGCAGCAAAATCGCAATAGCAAACAAAAACGCACAACTTCCGCATGCGGAGACGGCGGAGACTTCGACGACGTTCGAGGATTTCCTTATTTCAGGAGGTCTTCGGAAAGGGCAAGGGGACCCTGTGGCCTCAATGGACACGGCTATGTCGGCTATGTGGACGTTCAGCAAAATTTTCACAAACAACATCAAACTGGCGGTGAGTGAATGGGACATGTAAACACAGCAACGCTGTGTCTAAGGGCCACGTCCTTGCGAAGGACCTCTCCATCGCTCTCTCAGTTGTTCATGGTTTCCGATTTCATCCAATTTCCCAGCACTTCAGGATTAATCCATCCCCGCCTTGAGCATCGATCTCCTTGAGCAACGTCACCTGACGGATTGATCCGAGACGATCACTGACGAGTATATAGAGGTAAGAAGCAAGAAGCTCAACAGCTTTCTGGGGTCCCCACTGGGTGTGCTATGCTCTCTGCCCCCACCCAGGGTGGAGGGTGTTGTGGTAGGAGGCGTGAGTCTGAGGGGTGATGTGGTTGTCAGTCTGGCCCAGTCTTGAAGGACCACGACCAGGTCATCCAGCGTGCCCTGAAACTGGAAAACAGTGTTCGGAACCTCACCTTTCCAGTCGACCATCATAAACCCATGTAAGCCATGACCACTGACTCCCATGACTGGCTCCCGTTCTGGACCAAAGGCCACCGTCGCCCAAAGCCGTCGCCCAACGTTGCCCACCCGACTGGATGGCCAGAATTTGGGACGGCACCTGGGAGTATCGGTTGGGAATGTTCCTCAGCATCACCGTGGTCTTTGGCCGGTCCTCGTGGACCTGCGTCCGGCCGCGAGGCGCGAGGGCGCGAGCAAGCCGCGGGCGGTCGAAGGTCTCAGCCCAGTGACAGGTAGGGCGAGGTAGGGCGATGGCTGTCGCTGTCACGCTACATCAAATGGTTGTCGTTGCCCAAACACTTCATGGGATCTACATTTGGGGCGGTTGACCTGGGGTCAATGTAGGTGTATATAAACCATTATACATAAATTGTAAATATGCAATGCATGGAGTGTCTCGGTCGGTTTGTGTCTTCTTGTGTCCAAGTAGAGTGTACGATGTTCTGGCTTGAGATGTTTTGATACGTGACTCAGTGACTGGACCCTATTCCATTGGTAGAGCCTGTTCCCTTGCGTCCGTTGTCCGGTAGTTCAAAAAACATGCCATTCAAGGTCCCGAAATACCTCGTCATGACTATCGTCATGTGAAAATGAAGGTGGAACCGAATAGGGATATGCCCCCTGTAATAAGTATTGTAAATTAAATTTGGATCCTAAAATGTCCCAAGGTTATAGCATGCGGCATTTTTATGGACACGCTATTCAGAGGTGGAGCCATTGAGAATCTCTCAAGTTTTGCGTTCAAGTGACATGCCTATTGGAAGGCCACTGTATGCTACCACGACAAGCTGATGGCCTGATTGCTGGACCCCGATAAGTAGCCGGTCGGAGTAGGGGGGAGCCCAGTGGGGAGCCCTTCTAATACTACAATCAATTCAAGATCAATCCAGCAAACGCCCATCAATGACCCCCAAAAACCACTTGGTCACGCAAAGTCAAGTGAACACCCTTTTGGATCCTTTTGGCAAAAAAGAACAACTGCCACCACAAAAAGTACAGCTCGAGGTCACTTGAAAACCTAGTGATCAGGAGTGCGCGGAATGCATTTTTTCAAAGAACTCTTCCCTCACAGGAGTTTTTTCTCGACATTTCTCGACACTGGTCTTCACCAGCACACAGTGGTGTGCTGCACAGGCCCTAGGCCCTGCCTGGTGGACCAGGTCCACGTGCTTCGGCACGCTGACGGAGTGGTAGGGCTTAAAGCCCCGATCTGAATTGGCGCCCCTCCTGGAGAAGTGGAAGACCATAAGGGGGGGGGCGCGCCCCACCATGGAGACCCACCAGGTCCGAAAGCCCCAATTGGGCTGGCCTCCAAAACACCCTATATTGTACAATAATGTATAAGAAGAAACGATTTTCCCATGTCATCCTCTGATCTTTCGGATCCCCAAATCTTGTGATCAATCCAACTTAGGAACTATCAATTATTAGGTCCGGAGGAGCCCACACTTGCTTCGCAAGACAAACTCAAGGTATCCCTGAAGGGCTACCTTTCGTGATTTGTCTCCATTTCGTCTCGGAGTCATGGGGGCATCTTTTTCCATCACAAACATGCGCTGACCATGGGCTCGGATCTCCTGCGGGGCTTCTTTGAATCGTGGCTGTAGCTGGCCATCGAGGACTAAGCAACCCAGGGTCCGTGGCACGAGGTCGCGTCGCGTTTTGGCGTATTCTTGTTTCACGCCCGCGGAGCACAACTAGGGAGCTCTGAGGTTGAAACAGCGGCACAAATGCGGCACTGGTGCGTCATGTGCATGAGATTATGGGTGATCATGCAAACATCACTGATAGATTCTGGCGTGTCTATATATAGTGAATGGGTCGACATGAGTGGCACACCCTCCCACTGGGGAAACGAATCACCAGGAAGTCCTCAGCCATCTTCAGCCCCAATCCACCGAAAGAATGGCCAACTTCCCTTAACTCAACCCGCCGTTGCTCTTGTTGCTCATCACATCTAACCGAGAAGAAACCACACCTCCTGACCCTCCGGCAATGGCAGTCGGAACGGTCGCAGAACGTGTTCTGCGCCACGAAAACGGAATTCCGCCTCCCGCCGCTGCCGTTGCTTCTCCAAGTCTGAAGCACGAAAGGGCCTGGTGCGCGTTGATTGGGCTGCCGGCTTCACCTCCCCCTGTGGAAGGAACACGTACCAAGGAAGTGACACGACCATATTCTTGAACACTCTAACTAGTTGCCAGAGCGAATTGGCCTTGCCCTTAAGTAGTTGCAACGTACAATGGCGAACATGGGGCTGGCTCAGGACCGTTTCTAAACATGTTCTCCGGACACCCTGGATTACGATCGCAAGTGAAGAAGGCCATAGAAGGCCCAAGGAGTGATGATTGCTTTTGGGGTGGGTGAAAGGTGGCTCAAAGGAATTCCGCCAAACCACCAATGTTTTGGAGGGCTGACGTGCTGGCGCTGCGTGATTGCTTTCTATCAGGCTGCAAGATGTGTCATCGGTTGCTCTTTGTCAAGCGATGTGTATGGAACAACCAAACAAACTCTGGATGATGCCAGTCTAGAGCGGAACGACATGCAGCAAGGGTGCGGGCTTTGCATCAGCGCCAATGGCACTGTCAAACAAGTCCAATGCTTCCGATGCACCGAGTGATCTTCATCCGCAGCCCATCCGGTGGAACATAGGCCTATGGCATATGGTAGCCGATGTCCCAACAGCAAAGCCTGTTTCAGGCATTTCCGGAGGATCCCCACCCATTTGAAGCAAAAAGGTACTGTAGTACCTTTGCATTTTGGAAGCAAGCTTGACAGACGCAAAAGAGGACACGCAAATGGCACTACTTTCGAAAGAGATGAGCCCTAAAGGTTCAAAACCGTGGTCTGAGCTCAAGATTTTAGACCTCCCACAGCCCAGCAGTTCTAAGGTGAACACCTATGAAATCCGATCGCCACATCTCAGTTTCGCAGTCTCACCAACCTTCAGCCACACTCCCCAAACGCCCCGGATTTCGATCCGACAGGTCGGCGTGACGCCCTGAGGTCCCAGGCGCGACCGCCTGGATCTGCTCGCCCGTCAAACAAAGCCAACCTGGGCGTTCGGAGGCGCGCGCCGAACCTCGGGCCGACGAAGCTGAGCATTCGGAATAGGGTGAGAATCCAAGAAAACAGAGGCTGGTCCGGGTTCTTCCCATGTCGAGGTGGTCCGGGTAGCCAACCCACTGCAAATCAAATGCGTCTTCAAGTCTTTCACCCTCCTGATTCCTGCAGATTCTTGGAGTTTCTGGTTCCCACCACATCCAACGATCCGAAGGCCGATGTCCGAGCGGCGCTCGTTGCCCCGGTCCGCGAAGTCTTGGAGCGACAGCGCGGAGCCCTGGGACGCGGAGCCCGGCGCGGCAGGGGCGGAGCAGAAGGATTGGTCGATGGGGGCCGTGGCGTTTTGGTGGATTGCCCTCCAGAAGCCCCTGTGAAGAAAGGGATGATCGGTGGTCACTTGCACATCTGGCTGATACAGCATGTAGTTTCTTGGTTTTCTTTTGGCTTTGGAACTCTTCAGTGGTCAAACCTGTGCGCTGCACTACCAGGTCCCGCTGAGCGCCAAACCACTCGACAGCCCTCCAGCATCAGGCCGGTCAGCCTCCGGCAGGGACATGCACAGGTCGCACAGGTGTTTAAACCTATTTAAATAGGTAGGCCGGGATATGTAGGGGTTCCTTGACACACATATTTTAGGTAAAGGTAAATATCAGGCTCGTCAACCCCTTGATGTGGGTGTTTTTTCATGTTTTTTCACCCCTACTGAACCCAGAAGTGCTTCCTTCTGCGACGGTTGCAAATGATTAGACGGGCCCAGGGCCGATGTCGAGTTGCATGCTTGCTGCAGGCCCCTGGCAATCCAAATTAACTGGAATAAGCATGAATAAGATTGAATAAGCACGTAGGATGGGAAAGCATATTGGGATATACGAAACTGGGAAGTAACACCATGTTAGCATGTACAACCCCTGGAATAGTTTTCGGATTCCCTTACTGGGCTGCGCTTCCGCTGGCCCAAGCGGAAAGTCCAGCTTGGTTTGGGGGGTTCTCCACCCCGAAGATAAACTGTTGGGTTACCATTGCTCGCAGTTTTGTTTGCCCACAGTCATGCAATATAATATTGTTCAGTAATTAGTCACTAGTCCTGCTGTTCTGCTCCTGATTGCTCTCGCACAATCATTGCATGGCCAAAAAGAGATGACTGCAACATATTTTCCAACATATGACTGCACTCATCACCGCTCCCTCACAGTGCACGGCGATGCAAAAACTTCCGCCGTGCCTCTTGAGATTATCCACCTGACCACCTAAGAACAGCGGAGGGCGGGGACATCATCCCGACGGGCCAAAGCCCAAAAATGCACCATGTTCTCTGTGACGTGACATATGTAGTTATATATATAAGAATATAATATATATATATATATATTAACATGATTAAAAAACCGTAGTTGTTGCTGCTGTTGGCGCTGGTGGTGCTTTGAGCCCAGTTCCGGACATGTGAGCAGCGCGCTTGTCATGTTATTCACATGCTAGATCTACCCAGCCACTGTGCCGAGTAGCACACTGAGCAAGCACTTGAGGATAAACAGTTGGCAGGACAACCAAAGGTGATCAAGGTATATATGGCTTCTGCAAGATGCTGCAGCAAAGGATTTTGGATTCCCGTCATCTAGACTTTAGAGAGACCACCTTTGGACCACTGGATAATTAAAACGGCTACCATCACTGCGATATCTGCGATTTGTGTAGTTCCTGGAGGATCTTGAGGTGTCTCCGCAAGGGTGACGTTTCATTGCCAAAGATGTTGGTTCAGGGGTCCACTTGTTTGTCCCACTAGTGCGAGTCTTGCAACTTCTTGAGCCATGATGCCTTTGAAATCACCCAGAGGCCGGGATAAGAACCTCTGGTTGGCCCATTGTGTCTACTCCTGCGTGTTTGTAAGTATAAACAGCTTGCCCAAAACAAGTGAAGCCAGTGAAGCATAACCTGGCGACGCCAAGGCATTTTTGTACCTACCCTTGGGCTGCCGGGCATAGGAGGTTTCGCCCATCCTTCTCTTGCTTCAGGTCCGTGCGGAACTGAGGCCGCAACAGGGAGACGGCAGGGAACCGCGTTGAAACCGGGTCTGTTTGAAGACGAGCAACATCTGCCAGCCAAAGCCTTTTGCCTTGTAAACATGTATTTTTCTAGTTTCACCCGATGCTGGTGAAGTGCGGTTCTAGTTTCTAGTCTAATTCTTCTAACCTATTCTGCTGGACACGCAGTACGAAAGAGATCCCAAGAGCAAGCTCCTTTGCTTGCAAGATTGAAATTGCCAAGACACCGTCATATGGGGCACGCTGTGGTACATAACTTCGTACAACGTAACGTGACCACCCAAGTTCCCTTCCACTTGCCTCTCATCGCCCCTTAACAAACTTACGATAACGCGATATGGCCAAAAGCCAAGTCACATGATGTCACATGGAATGAATAAGTAACGCCTTGGCCTTGGACGCCTTGGATGTCAAACTACAGGGGCGATGCCACGACATTGGACTTCCTTTGCCTCATCGAGGTGTTAGATCTGCTTCTACCCTGGTCACCAAAAACGAACCTTCCCCCAAAATTCGTCCAAATGGGCCGCAACTACCTTGGCTTCCATCGAGTTCCAATGAACCGCACATGGACCGCGGAAAGAAAGAACGACTGCATCGCCTGATGGATGTCCGACATCATGTCCACACGATCGGAGTTCCGCCACCGTTGCAAATCCTCGATCTCCTCAAAGGAGAGCTCGGGCGCCATCTGGTGATCCGGGAGTTGGGGGGGTTGGCTGCGGAGTGGACAGGGGTTTGGCTGCTTGGTGCCATTCGGTAGTAATTGTTTCGTTGGGGTGCTTTTATGTTGATTTTTAAAAAGCATCGTTTTAAAAGTGCTTGTGTGGTTTGAGTGCTGGACAAATGGTGATTTGTTGTTTTGCATGCTGGGTTTGACACCTCACACGTTCATTTATCAATCCATCAACATCGCCTCCTTGGAGTTCATACACATCACTGCCATGGCTGAATTTAAAATCTTCCAATCCTCTTCCAACCACCCAGGTGCCACCCAACCTTCCAACTTCAGTCGACCGAATGAACGACGTATGCATCGTCGACGGCCCGACGTCCCGACTGCTCCTTGGTGATCTCGTGATGGATCACATCAATCCGCCGCCTCCACCAGTGTGGGCGTGGTCGGATCCGGACCGCCGGCGCGGACCCGCGGTGGTGACCGTTGGACCGGTCGGGACCGGTCTCTCCTTTAACGGTCTGCGCCCTGAGTGGCTCATTCCCAGTAGTCCTCACAGGTCTTCGTCTTCGTCATGTCTTACTTTTCCCAAAGAGACCCACCCCCAAAACTCCCCAGTCGGCCTCTCGACCGCCAGCTTCTCTTCCATATCCGCCAAGGTCCGCCCCTTGGGCAGTGTAAAGGCATGAAGGTAGGCAACAGTGGTGGAGAATGTGAGACGTCAAAATGTTTAGAAAAGGAGTAGAAAACATAGAGCCACACCAATTCATGTCGTGTAATATGAATTCATGAAACCTGTTTGACCCGATGAGGTGCCACCGTGCTTAGTGCTTCTTCTCCGTGCTTTGTGAGAACCCTCATGAGTGCATGAGCTTCTCCAGCATGCAATGCTTGCATATGCTTGCAGCACCCCCCAATCAACTTGAATCATTTC